ACACACGACACACACACACACACACACACACACACACACACACACACACACACACACACACACACACACACACACACATACACATACACACACACACACAGACACCCCCCCCCCAACCCCCACCGCGCATCCACCCGCCTCGCTGCAGCGGTGCCTCACCCTGGGCCGGCGCTCCAGGAGCGGTTTCGAGTAGTCGAGCAGTTCCTCCACGGACGACGCCGGACGCGAGGACGCGCGTCGCTTATCCAGACGGCGCAGCACTTGCTGTTGCTGGTCCTGACCGTCACTACCGACGTCTGTTGTCTGCTGCAGCATCGTCATGAGGTCATCCACATTCTCCGCCTTGTTCGTGGGCTGCGGCGCCTGTGAATATGTGTGAATGTGCATTTCGAGTGAGTGTGGGAAGAGGGAGCGCACGTTGGTGGCGAGAGTGCAGGGGCAAACGCATACATGCAGACAAGCCGCACACGACGTCAACCCCAACAAGCAACTACAAGCAACCAAACACACACAGACACAAGCAATCAAACACAGACACACACAGACAGACACACAGACAGACACACACACACACACAGACAGACACAGACAGACAGACACAAGCAACAAAACAGAGGCGGCGCACCTCCTTTGGTGCGTGTTTGCGTGCGGCGGCGACCATGGGATGAACTTTCCCGTGGTCGTCAAGCATTGCAGTCTTCTTCAGCGGCACGAGCGCTGGGCACGCAGTTGGTGGGTTTGTTGGGTTGGTTGTTGGGATAGATGGAGAGGAAGGAGTCAGATAAGAAGGATGTGTAGGTTTAGCGCCAGTGGAGATGCAATGTTCACAGACACAGACACAGACAGACAGACAGACAGACAGACAGACACAGACACAAAACTCACTGGGCTTTGTGACTGCTTCCTCCTCGGGAATGCCTTCGCTCGCCACCTCAGCTGCTGCCTCATCGCCCAAAGTCTCATCCCGCGCTGTTGCCTCACTGGCACCATCGCCATCATCTTCATCGTCGTCTTCGTCGTGTGCGGGACGCGTGAAGCCATCGCGGTCAAACCCGCGGGACTGCAGCAGTTTGGACGGGTTCTGTTGTTTGGGTTATTTGAGTTGTTGTTGTTGTTGTTGTTGTTGTTGTTGTTGTTGTTGTTGTTGTTGTTTGGGTTGTTTGAGTTGGTGGTGGTGAGGAAGGCACGTATGTGAATGACTGCAGAGGAACATTCGTTCAAGCACATAGTGTGACCAAGAGCAATCAATACAGAGGCACGCTCTGATTCCTTCGCACCACTCTGCGGCGCGGGGCGTCTGACGCGTCCTTGTCATCGGTGTCGCCATCGCCCCGCTGACGATGGCAATGATGACAATGATGACAATGATGGTGGTGATGTGTTGCACAAGGATGATTGAGTTGGTGAGGAAAATGGTGGCGTTTTGGAAGGGAGCGAGCCACATAGCAACAAAGGCAACACACACACACACACACACACGCACACACACACACACACTCTTTTTCTCTCTCTCATTTACACGTCTCCAACGCATCCTCTCACAAGTCTCCCAACCCACCTTGTTCCTGTTGAGCCAGACGCTGCGCTCGTCCTGCATTGCGCGGCGGACGGATTCCTGCTCCATCTGCTCCTTGATCGTCAGCGGTTTGAGGTCGGGAATCGTCACGTTGCGCTGCATGCTCCCGGCCTTGCCCTGACGCAACCACGACTCTGCCGCCTTTGTCTGCCGCCGCGTGCTCTGTGGGTCGTGGTGGTCGTGGTGATCATGGTGATCATGGTGGTGGTGGGTAAGCATTGATGATGGTGATCGTGGTGATCATGGTGATCATGGTGGTGGTGGGTAAGCATTGATGATGGTGGTTGGGATTTGTTGTGTTGTGTCGTGTGATGAGACGATCGTGATGCGTTCACGAGGAGACAACGCAGTGTGCAAAACCACCACGGGATCTCAATCACATCCGTTTCAAGAACAACAAGAACGACAAGAACAACAAGAACAACAAGAACAACAAGAACAACAATAACAAGAACAGCAACAGTGGCCGCCGCCACATTGGTAATGTCCAACGCACCGGGTCAATGCCTTCAAAGGGGTCGTTTCTGTATGCGGGGATGCGCGCAACGCACACAGAGCCGTCACGCCCGCCCGTCGCAAGAAACTTTCCACTTGAGGACACACTCACAGCCTCAACCTCCTTCCCAGGCTCGTGCTGGTGGTGGTGGTGGTGGTGTGGATTTGTGGCGGTATGGTGATGATCATGGTGATGGGCTTGGGGTTGGTATCGCAAGAAAGGGGGGGGGGGGCGTGAAGGTTGGTGAAAAGCGGGTGGCAAGTCAGGCGTCAACTCAGACAGGTAAACAGGCAGGCAGGCAGGCAGGCAGGCAGGCAGACAGAGAGACACACGCTACCACGGACAACTATTGTTTTTGTTCCAGCAGTACCATGCGGGCCTCGCTGAGGAGATTGTTGTTTGGGAGCGATGGGTTCCAGAGAATCGCGGAGAACCCGCCCGCTGCCGGAACGCAATGGGTCACCATGAGTCGTGATGGGCAATCGGGATGAGGGCAGGGAGGTTGTGGGGTTTGCGACAAGCAGGTGATCGTATGCATATTCACACACACACACACACACACACACACACACACACACACACTCACACACACACACACACACACACACACACAACAGCGAGCCCACCTGTTGCGAGGATGTTGTTTGAGTTGTGCTGGTTGAGCGGGCAGAACACGGCGCTCTTCACGGTGTCCTCGTGCGCTTTGAGCAACCGGAGGATTTTTCCGGCCTTGGGGTCCCAGATGGTCACCTGTGAACAACAAGAAGGAAGGGGCGGTGGTGATACGTGGTGTGTGTGTGTACGTGTGTGTGTTCGTGTGTGTGTGTGTGTGTGAACGGAAAGTATAGCAGCAGCAGCAGCAGCAGCAGCAGCAGCAGCAGCAGCAGCAGCACAGGGTGAGCGTGCACTCAAAAGCCCAATTCAAGCCATCCAACCACTACTGTACCCAACAGCGGCAACTGCAGCACCCAGCAAACCAAACACCCCACACTAACCCATGCCCCAACAGACCCAAACCACCAGCTACTCCAGCTGCCTCACACTGCCTCCCGCTCTCAAACACACTGTTCTGTCTGCTGATCCTGTTGCGACGAGACTGCCGTCGTTGGACCACGCCACGCTGTACACCGCATCCGCGTGACCGCCGCTCAGTGTCAGCGCAACTTTCCTGTCAGGGCAACGCAGCGTGTAGTGTGCGTGTGCGCATGCGCGCGCGCATGTGTGCGTGTGCGTGTGTGTGTGTTGGTTGAGTTGAGCCGTTGCATATTTCACATATCGTGTACCACAAAACGCCAAAGACACACAGACAGACAGACACAGACAGACAGACACACACACACACACACGCGCGCGCGCGCGCGCGCACACACACACACACACAGACACAGATACACACCCACACCCACCTACACAACCCCACACGCCCACACACAGACCTCGTTCGTGTGTCCCAGAGCCGCGCTGTTGCGTCCTCGCCACCAGATGCCAGCAGCGCAGATGTGTGCCCGACAGGATAAAACTCGCACGCCCACACGCCTTTGGTGTGCCCGCGCAGCGTACTGATGAGCTCGCCTGTTGCGCATCAGGGAGATTGGTGTTATCGGTGAGCAGCGGACATGTGACATGCAGCGCAGTCGTCGACCAATAAGAGGCACAAGTTGACAAACATCTGAATTGATTCGGCATACGCGTGCAAAGCGCTGCACAGCCACTGGCAGACAGACACGGAAACACACACACACACACACAGATACACACACACACACACACACACACACACACACGTACAGAAACACAGATACACACATATGCACACACATGCACGCACACACAAACAGACACACACGCATATGCACACGAGACAAAGTAGCAGCATAATCTGCTCATTTCGCCTGCCTGTGTTTGGGTCCCAGAGACGAACTGTCTTGTCCCAGGATGCAGTTGCCAGCTTTGTTCTGTCTGGGGCAAAGCTGCACTGCAACACCTGCAAAACCCAAATCAACGAACCACCACAGAGAAATGTAAGCACTACTTAGCTCTTCATACCAGACCCTCCCTCCCCTTGCATAGTCCCTCCCAGCTTGTGAACGATGGATGTTTACCCAGCCGAAATGCTCTCGCAGGATGCGCATGCGCTCGCCCGTGCTCGCGTCCCACAAGCAGGTTGTGTTGTCTGCATTGACAAAGAGAAAGAAGAGATTAATGATACGTGTTAGATTGCACGTGAACGCACCACACAGTGAACGCACAACACACACACACACACACACCACACCACACAAGCCCCCCTGTCGTTCCCCCTCTCCCTAATCCCCCCTTCCCACCTGATGATGTGGAGGCGATGAGGGCGCCGTTGGGATGCCACTTGACGCAGGTGACGGGTCCTGCGTGTGCAGACCGGTCAATGACACGCAGCGCAGCCTTCTCGTCAACGTCCCAGATGCGGATGGTGCGATCAAACCCGCCGCTCACAAGCATGTTTGCTGCTGGATGAAAGTCCACGCTTGTGCATTGCCAGTTGTGCCCTGTCAACCGGCACACATGCTCCAGCTCACGAGGCATCCTGCACGTGTGTGCCTGTTGTTGTTGTGATTGAGTGCTGCTTGGATGAGAGGGCGGAAGCGGACGAGGGGAGCAAGAGGTGTGTCGCTGTCGCTGTCGCACGGGTCTTTGCTGTTTGCTGTTTGTTTTCGCCAACGCCTCCCTTCTGTCGATTGTATGACTGAATTCAGTTCAATAGCCTGAAATCAGGGAGCATTTTTCCACCAGACACCAAACTGAATTCAGACGTGGATATGGCGACGACGGCGCTGAAGACAACATCGCTGTCGGCGGTGGAGTTCCTGGTGGCAGAGATCTGCCGCGGTAGCAAGGACATTGCCACAACACACGTGCGTTGGTGTGTGCGTAGCAAGTGCGTGTGAATGC